CATGGGTGACAAATTAAGCTTACAGTTGTGGGTTTTTGACTTGTTCATTGTATCGAGAAATTTCACGCTAAACATTTCCATGACAATTTTGTAATTTCACATGTGAAATTGTACATTAACGCTGCAATTTCGTGCCAAAATTCAGAGCAATGAAGAAAATGATGGTAGTTAGAGTATTATTTTCTGAGGACAGTGCATTTTTTCAATAGTATTTGTAGCTATAACTATAATTTATTTGCACCTGATTGTATTGTTTTTACATTGTAGCCACTTCTGGAGAAGATGGAAAGAAATCTCTGATGAGAGAAATCGAGCTGGGAAAACTTCTTGGAGAAAACCGTCAGACAAACATTGTTGAGTTTATTGGCTGTGTTACCACACGAGGTAAAACGATGTAATAATTGAGATAAAATGTTAATACAGATTTATCTCCTGCTGTCGTTACACTGAAACTTTTCTTTAAGGACGTACACATGAAAACTAAATTGATACTGATTTTTTTTTAGAATTATCTTGAATTTAATTCCTGCGTTATCTTGTCAAGCAGGAAAAACACTTATCACTTTGTGATCAGACTGTTACAACTTGATTCTCTAGCACACTTGATTTTTTAACCACTGGCGTCTGTAGCCACTGGGTTCTATAACAATGTTTTGGATTCCAGATTCCAACTAATGGATTTTGTAGCTACTAGTTTCTGTAACTTCTGGATTCTGTGCTGAGCCACTAGCTTCTGTACCTACTGAATTCTGCAATCCTTTGATTCAATCAACAGCCACTAGAATCTTTAATAATGGATTTTGTAGCCACTCGTTTCTGTAACTATCGGATTCTGTAGCCACCTGATTGTGCTACCGGGTTCTGGAACCATTTGATTCTGTGGTCACTGGATTCTGTAGCTACTTGATTCTGGAACCATTTGATTCTATAGCGACTAGCTTCTGTAGCCACCTAGTTCTTAGGTACTGGATTCCAGAATCATTTGATTCTGTAGTCACTGGATTCCATATCCACTAGAGTGTGGAACCATTTGATTCTCCAGCGACTTGATGCCTTAGTCACTAGATTCTTTAGCTACTGGATTCTGGAACCATTTAATTCTGCAACCAATTGATTCTGTAGCCACTTGATTCGGTGGTTACTGGATTCCGTAGCCACTGGATTCTATAACCACTGGATTCTGTAGCAAGAAGTGACTTGAATTTTTTCTACCTCACCTGAAAAGGAGGATAATCCATCACAGTTAACCCCCAATACTTTGTCTTGTATTCATTCTTTTGTACTTCTGAGTAAGTAGGTTACGTGAGGGTTAATGCTTTACCCAACAAGACAACACATTGACATCTCAGTGGCCCAAACCTGGACCACCGATCCTGTATCCAGTACACTGATTATTAGGTTGCCTCATCTATCAAATTTCCCAAAAGTGTAGAGTATCTCAAGAGATGAATTGATTGTAGATACAGACTGTAAGTTTTGTTACTTACTTCTCTTGTAGTTCAACCAATCCTAGTCATGGAGTACTTGGCGCGTGGTGACTTGTTGGGTTATCTGAGGAAAAGCCGTGGAATTCATGATAAATATCATCTTGGACAGGGGAGTGTTTCAGAGCTGGAAATATATGACCTAGTGTTGTTTGCCAAACAAATTGCTGCTGGTATGGTGTTTCTTGGATCCCGAGGGGTAAGTAATCATCTAACCAATTAGGCTGCAACAAAATTCCACAAGCTAAGACTCTAACACTTATTTAAAAAAAAATCCTACTCAGTTAATTTTACACCACTTTTTAACAAACTCTGAAGCTCCGACTGGCAGTGCAGTATGTTTTTTTGTGTGTGTAATTTGGTTGACTTATTTTCATTGATGAAGTTTTCTACTGTACATAGTGTTAGGCCTGTGTTTAAGCCTCTTGGCCCACCAGGCCAGTTCTTTATCGCATCTACAGTTTCTGCAGTGTACGTTACTAGGAGTATTTGCCCCACCCCCTGGGAGGGATGCTAGTCCATCACAGGGCTACCCACGGCATAATATTTGCTGGTACCCATTTTATGCACCTGGGAGGGAGAGGCACTGCAAGAGTAGTGTGTCGGCCAAAGGCACTACTGAATGTTCTCAGTCAGGCCTTGATCCCCCGACCGCTCGATCTGGAGTTCAGCACAGTAACCCACTTACGATAATATGTACTGGGAGTAGAAATATTAGTGGTAGTGAATTGTTGAGTGCCTTCAATTAACTTTTCAACATTCTGACGGCAGCTTTTGCAATTCCTTTTAGAGTCTAATTCCTCTCCTATCCCTGGATTGCAATACAACGCTGACTTCTAAAGATATGGTTTATATTGAACTCCTCTGGTTTCAAAAAAAAGGGAAAGGATGTAGGCTTTCTGTAAAATTGATTTATTAAAAAAAATACAATAACTAAATGTTACCTTCTGACAGGTGGCATCATATTCAAAATGTAAAATAATATATTTTTGTAGATAATCCATCGTGACCTGGCAGCTCGTAATGTTCTTGTTGATGACAACTTTGTTTGCAAAGTTACCGACTTTGGTCTGGCTTATCAAGATTTCAAATATGGACATGGAAACGCTAAAAAGGTATCTCAATTTATAATTTTACACAGCCATAGTGCAATTAACACATAATTATTGGTCCCAAGGGAAATGATTGGGATGGCTGACAACTGTTTCCAGCATTTTTCATTATTTCTGTCATGAACTACACCTCTTTTGAGTTGGAAGCTAGTGTAATAGTGAGATCAAACGAACACTCAGTTATTGATAAAGGAGTTATAGTTCTTTTCCTGCCTTAAATTAACGGTAACCATAGGAATAGTATAAGTCGTTAAAAACCCTTAATTTAAGCTTTAAGTACTTCTAACTCAAGAAAGGGCCTCCACTTTTTTATATCAAATTGTGATTATAACATGTTTTATATGCATCTGTTTGCCAAGTTTAACAAATCTAAAGAGCCACTTCGATTTTTTGAATATTTAGTTTTGTTAGTACAGATGTTGTAGAAGTTATGGTTCACAGGTTTCTACTGACTGTATTTTCAGGGCTGTATGCCAATCAAATGGACTGCACCTGAGATACTTTCAGGAGAATTCTCTGCGCTCTCAACCCAAAGTGACGTGTATGTAAACTATAAGTACCCCTGTTGTGCCTCACTAACTTTAGACGCTGTTTACAGTAGTTGTTTTTGTCTCACAATTCTATTGCCCCACTTCAAGAAAAGTTGCATTAGAGGTTGCCTAGTATAATAAATGTCTCCTGAAATGAATATGGGTTGAAGTGAACTTGGTTCTACTCCATGCAAAGCTTGGTGCAACAAAAACGTTGTTCCCTAGTGTGACAGTGCCTTTAATCCCCGGGTNAGGAGACTCCCATCTAAAAAGGGCGGGGGTGCTTGTCGAAAATTTTGGAAAGAAATCCCCAAGAGGCACCAAGGTACTGTTTTGTGGACGTGGCTTCAATTTCTTTTTTTCACTAATAAGAGTTACAAACTCTGAAACAACACATTGACTAGCAATGACTTTTTTCGGCTCAATACCCTAAAAGGCACCGCAAAAGCTTCCACTGTGGACCTTTTGAGGCTGAGCACTCTAAGAGTTACCAAAACTGCTTTTTTAACCCCTGAAAGGGACGACGAGCCCCCCCGTCCTTTTTATATGGGAGTCCCCCCCCCACCCCCCACCCCCGGGGGGGGCTTTAATCTTCCTATTGTTATTAAAACGAAACATGCAACGACTTCCAAAAATACTGCAAGACGTTACTGCAACATATTCTGTCTGGATTTGGCAGCCAGACTTGATGAGGTGATCGATTACCAATACACCAAGCAAGGAAGCTCCTTAGGAAAGATCCTTGATTTTAATCTGGTTTTCTATCAGCTCAATAAATTTCGAAGAATTTGAAAAAGACGCATTAAAGCAAACCTATCATTTTGCTATAATTGTACATTGCACTCTTTACTTTGTAGAATGTTATTATACAACTTCGCTTAGTCTTTAAGGGACACTGTCACCACTTTTAGCACGATTCTGTAAATCTCAAAAAACATATCTCGATCATTGGAAGCTGAACAATAATGGTTTTATTTTGTAGAGCAGTACTCAACAAATGATTGAAACCCATTAGGAAGTGAGGATGGCTAACAATGGCGAGGATGGAAATGGCTGTCAGTTTTGCAAAAGTTCAAGTT